TCCCTGGGCTCATAGTCACTTCCATCTCCTGACTGATGCTTCTTATCAGGTCCACCACAGTGCTGCCGCCAGCACATTTCTACATATGGCTATCCAAAGGCTGTGGCGCACACCTCTCCCACATGCATCCCAACTTGTGTGGATGGCCACTGAGTTCACTTCAACAAATTCTAGACTGAATTAACTGATTATAAACTAATTTATTCTTTGTGCTGAAATGCAGTCAAAAAAGAAACAAAACCTCTCTTCACATATAATTGAGGGGAATTACCTAGAAACTATAGTCAACTAGTGCAGTCTTGGTGCACTTACAAAAAACACAACATGATGTGTTTATAATTTATTTAGCCTTTGCTCGTATTTATATAGCAACAGTTTGGTTGGTACAATATTTTCAGGTGTGACAAGATGTGCTCTAGTTGCTTGCAGTGCTGTTAAACCTGATGTCCTTCTCTAACAATGTTATGAAATGTTTTATTGTTAATAGACTATTATGGCAATTGCAGTGAAGGACTTCATAATTGTAAATTATTACAGTATTGCTATCTGGCTCCCTCTGTCTCTCTCCTACTGGACCGTGGCGCTCTGCTTCCTGCTGCAAACTGTACAGTACAGATTTATTAGCTGAAGCTAGGGCTCCCGGACAGTCACCGCTCAGCACTCCCTCAGATCAATAATTGGAAATATTAATTATATCAGCAGAGGCAGAGCAGTCAAAGGGGGGCTGTTTATACTCCTGTTATAGAGCAGAGCAGCAGTGGGCTCTGATGGCCCACTAATACTTATTAATGATCCCAGCACAAACATTACTCTATATTAAACCTGAGTGAGAGCCACAAGACATTGCACATATGCTATGGCTATTAGACATATTTTATTGCTCAAACTGTTGCATAATTGTTATGGGGATTTTCTGAATTGCTATAGGCTGGCTTCAGCAAAAACATGACATAATATTCAGCAGCACCTTTTTATTAAAACCATTTCAATCAACGAGCAGTCTTTAATTTCATAAATCTGACTGCATGAGTCTCTTCCATGCCATTTCATAGTATAATTGACATTTCAGAGAATAATTATGTATACATTTAAAAAGTTTATGTACAGCAAAGTGTTTCTGTGAAAAATAAAAAATATTCCAAATCAAGGATGGACATAAATGATTTGATATTTGACAAGTTGAAAAGTAAAGGTTATTTGTTGTTCCCTATACATTGAGTGAAAGGTCTGATTGATAATGAGCTTTTCCCAGGAGTGTTGCTGCCAGCAGTAACTGGAGTCTCCCCCACCCTGCTGAGTCCCACTGAACCCCACTAGTCCTGAACTCATTACTGCAGTAGATAGTGCCAGCAGCACACTCCGAGTCCTCGCACTACTAACAGGCCAAGCCCTGACCACACTTCTTCCACTTGCTCCCAGTAATTTGATATCAAACAGTGCTATGTGTGTTGTGGGGGTAGCCCCAGGACTGTGGTCCTCTATATCCACTAGTCATTTCAATGAACAGAATAATCCATACCCTTGGAGATACACAGAAACAACCCAAGACAGATGGCAACATCACAACAACGGGCATTACAAAATCTTGCCTGTCTTTGAAATAGATATAATGTATGATTGTAGTATCAATTCAGGCTGGGCAGTATGGTAAAAAAAAAATAAACCATGGTTTCATTCATTTTCTCTTGAATTCAGCTCAATGTTCAAACAGACTCTTTCCCACTCAAACCTCCTACTGGTCAGCTTTGTCAAGGCTCTGGGTGGTGAGCAACAGTGGGATTTAAGCAGATTACTTTAGTTATCTCTTCAAATCAATATAAAGTGACCAAGTTCACATGACTAGTAATCTATATAATATCTATATCTATATCTATACCTATATATATATATATATATATATATATATATATGTATGTATGTATCTATCTATCTATATGTATGTATGTATGTATGTATGTGTTGTGTGTGTGTGTGTGTGTGTGTGTGTGTGTGTGTATATTATATATATATATATATATATATATATATATATATATATATATATATATATATATATATTTTTGCCTATTCCTAGTATCAATTTGTCAAAAACAAAAGAAGAAGCCCCCTACTTAAAAATAATGAGGCCATACTGTGGAGGTCTTTGAGTTATATACAATAGTAAAACATATGACTCATAGTGTTGAGGAATTTGTTTGTCTGTTTCCTCTTGATGCTCTTCGCTGCCCTTTCTATTAATACCAACTTGGGACCAGCACAAAGCACTCTCCAACATGTGCCCCGCTGTGGCTGGAAGCGTTTTGATTGACATTGTTTATTTACTGCGGTATTGCTGGGTTCCTTCCACTGAAATGAAGAAAGTACTACAAGTAATGCCACTCAACAGAAAACAAATCTTATCTGAGAGTGGCAGCCAGCTCTTTTGGTTTGCTTTACTGTACCTCTGTCTTATAAGGCTGCCCATCTTATCACAGTCTTTCCTTCTGGATGTCTGTCCGACCAGAGTCCAATTACCTAACCATTATTTTAACTTAAGGAAGGAAGCGTAGAAGAAAAAAAAAAAAAAGATTGCAGTTGTGAGAAGAGAAGCTATGTCTCAGTCAGGTGGCTGTTGGTGTGATCCTCTGAGCTGTGAGTTAATGAATGGTCTCCTTGACAACGGCCGCACAAACAAATTTGTCTTGAAGTCAAAATGTGTGTGTGCCTAAGCGCTCGTATGGCACTATTTCCTAATGTGTGTTCAAGAAGGGAAATGGTCTAAACTGAGAGCCGTCAGCGGTGACTGTTCACGGACCATAATGCATTGCTCTTGGGCAAATAAATACACCATTAAGCTGGCATGTTGGAGGCTGAACAGTAACTAGCTTTAGAGAGTCGCCTCCCACACACTGGCGCCCTGCAGTGACGGCTGAGATCATAGCGGTATGGAGAAGAAGAAGAAGCATCAGCCGTTGGATTTAGCCCTCTCAGTCATGCATTTGAACAGAAATCAACTGGCAGGATGGCGGCGTCTCTCTTGTCCGTTTGCCATGTCAAAAGCAAACTCCCAAATCACTGTTCTTTCCTCTGACAGGGCTCAACCTTCTTTGTGAGTTTGTCTAGCGGATGTTTTCTTCATCTCGTGGAGGTGTTTCCGACTCGGAGAACACATGAGCGCGTCTGTCGCAGTTGATTCTGTAATCTATCCGTACATGCCGGGGAGCAGTGAGCCCTGTGGCTTGGCATTAGCATACTCTGGTTCTGCTTTGCTAGTGTGGAACAAAAGTAGTTGTAGACGGGCAGGATGATCATAGAGAACCATGAAAAACAAAAGCTCAACCTTCACAAATACAACATCCTCCTTCTCTCTTACAAAGACTTTCAGTATAGTTATTATTTACGACGCCTAAATTTATGGAATCATCGTCGTGTGGGAAGGTTACTGAGTTCCTCAAGGTGAAAGTGGATACGTTTAGCACTTAATGAATCAGGCACCAGCGTCTCTCCCATATATCAGCATGTTATTAAGACATTTTAAAATCCCATTATGGTGTTTCTCCTTGAACATGTCATGCTTTTATAGGACTGCCCCATCTTTAAATCTGACCTTTGCAAAAACCTGCCCCAAGATCGAACTGAAAACCATACAGGAAAGAAAGCAAGTAAATATGCATACAATATATCTAATGAAGAGCAGCATCAATGCGCTGTTTTTAGTAATTGAGTGGGTGTCTGGCAATTACATTCTGTTTTAAGAGATACGCTTTGACGATATAGCCACAAATAGTATACTAAAAATGGCTGGGAGGGTGCATTGCTCTGGCTGTATTTATATACATGTGGTTTATTTTTGTACTGACATTTTGCCCTGACTAAATTAGATAGCCAGTTTGATAAGAAATAAAATAAAATGGATAATTACTGAACTTTCACCAAATCCTAGCTTCATCTTTAAAGTTTCTTCCATCAAGCATAACTGGATGTATTTCAGGAAGACTTGCATGGCATGAACAACAGTAATGAAAAAGCAGGAGGTAAAATTGGAGGAAGGAGGAGAGCGTGACACAAAGACTGCGATGACAGAGGCATCTAATCCAGGCAATGCCATTCTTATCAGGGTCCAGTGGATTAGAGTGAGCCTCCTAACCAGAGAATCCTTCCCAGCCAGACACTCTGCTCTGCCCAAGGGCCCGGATCAATAGGCCCACATTGATCTCTCCCCTCCCGTGGCTGGATTCACTTTTATTAGGACTGCCTTGGCCACTTGCTCACGCGCACGCACACACACACACACACACACACACACACACACACACACACACACACACACACACACACACACACACACACACACACACACACACACACTCATAATGTAGCAGGGCAACCTTTCCATGTGCTTGCCCTAACAAATAACAAACAAACAGCTTATTTCACGTGGGACAGAGGTGAGTGGACCACAGTAGCCAAAATGGACACAAGCAAGGGTATCATTATTATTATTACTTCAAAATTATTAGAGATGGACCAATCTGGCATTTTAGTCCACAAAGCAGTCCAGAAGATTTCTTTTATTAAAATCCAAAAATCAATACCAAACAGAAACCTAATATCGTAACTATGAAACAGCACAGTATATCGCCAGCATGTCATAGACTTAAAATTGAAGAGTAGAGACAGCCACAAAGTAAACTAATAAAAAGTAAAATGTTCTGAAATTCTGTACATAACTACATACTATACTTTACAAGCAAAGATTTATGAACTTTATGCACTTTCTTCTTTCAAAAAGCCTTAAAGTAAGATGTTAACCCTGCTCTGATGTGGGAATATGAAGTTGTTGTTTGAAAAATTGGCTGTATGTCAAGTGAACTTTGCTCCAGGTTTTGTTTTTTCTGTGCTTCCTTTGATCAACATTGCAGGGTAGCTATTAGTATGAGAAGAAGGGTCTCGACACCTGGGGTTAGTGGCACCATACAGCTTCAGCAGCACTAACACTCTTTTGCTCTTTTCTCTTCCAGATGACTCGGCCCATCCAGGTGAAACCCGCCGACAGCGAGAGCCGTGGAGGTAGTTGTCTTCTTTTCTCTTTTTGCTCATGTCTAAGTCTCATATCCAAGACAAATATTTATTCTTCACAAATAGTTTTCAAATGTCACATACAATTGTTAAAAATACTATTGTTTTGAATGCCACTTTGCTTGTGTGGCATGATAGCTAAAATTGTACTCAGAACACGCTGTACATTCACCATTTCCTTTGGGCTCTCATCTTGTTGTGCCCTTGTACTGCCTGTAATTGATTACGTCTGAACAAGCGTCTGGGTTATTGAAAGCTGTGGCTCGGTGATGGGCTGTCCTGCATGCAGCCTATTTCTCTTTTTTCTGTTCTCTATGCCAAGTACATTATCGTGGAGCTGTAAACAAGATAGTGATTAGGCTTGATACCAGGGCCGGAGCCTTACAAACGCCCTTTTACTGCCCACACTGCTCTCTGTGCGTACATTAAAACATGAGAGTAAATGGTATAGAGGGGAGAAAAAATGGGAGCAGCAGCTCATTTGGCTTGCCAAACAATCAATAGGTTTTCAGGGATCTTGCCAACATCCTCATTACTTGGCCTTAATTCTGTCGTCTTTGATCTCTGCTGTTTTTGGAGTCTTTCATTTACTGGCGGCCTATCTGCATATATGTAAATGGGATCAGGAAGCATCCTTCAAAACCACTGCCAGAGACAATGTTGTTTTTTTAGAGTGCATCTCATGTGTCAGTCTGTAACACAGCCAAGGCCTTTTTAGTATTAAAAACATTATATCTACTATTTTCACAGTCTTCCAGTCCTAATGAAGGAAAAAAGAACAGAGAAAATGTGAGCAGGTTGCCAGCCACGTACAGCTGTTGTGCCAAACTTCTGAGGCTCTAGCTCAAAACGCCGTCTGCTCTCACTGAATTAGATGGCTGACCAATTGGCCGGCTGACAAATGCACACCGAACCTCAGGAAAAGAAACCCTTTTTTCTTTTTTTTTTTCCATTGGCTTTCTTTGGGAGCATTGGAGAGCAAGAGGTGGCCAGACTAGCAAAGGGGTCTTGTGCTGTCAAGATTGATGTCCCCCATAGCTCCATTGATTTTGCCATTGTGGTGCTGTGTGTCCACATTAACAATGACACTCAGCTGTCTCTTACTTGGTGGTGAGTGGCCAGTTTTAGAGCTCCCAGGATGCTTTGGTCACTATGAGGTCCTCTTATTGAGCAGCTGAGGGGACCCTACTGAGGAACAGATGACTGATAGAAGCGACCTGAGTGTTGCCCATCATTTTAAATGAACAGGTCAGAGTGGTGCCCCTGAGGCACCAGCCAACACAATTACTTTAGCACACTTTAATACCAAGAAGAGAGAATTTATTTTTAACAGCAACCTCTTAATGTGTATTTGTTTTTTTTATCACACATTCTTATATTTTTATTATAGATTTTTTTTTTATGACATTACTCTTCATTTATTGCTTTTAAATACTCTGGTGTTTCTACATGTTTAGAGAAAGATGTGCTCAAAAGAATAATATTGTCATGACAGCTATCCCTGGTTTCCATGAATGAAATGGATATTAATTATCATCAGGGCTCTTCCATAGGGACAAAGCAGGTCTGCTCTGTTCTGAGGGGCCGATCGTTCGGGGCCACATATTCCACAGTGTGCACAAATGACACACAGTCACACTAATTAGTGCCTTAATCTCATTATGAGGGGACAGCAGAGACCACCTGCGCCAGGTTCATGTCCACCAGGGACAGACCTGTTGCACTGTCTGGACCTTTGCTCCAGAGTCTCAGCTGTAATGAAAGCACACAGGCCTATAGACCAGGACAAGCCTCTGTAATCCACAGCCTCCTGAGCCCATACTGTACAGAGCACCACACCTCTCGGAGACAAATGAACGAGAATATTGTGTGAGTGAATCCATCCAAACACTCCATCAGCCCCTGCTGCTGCCTAACAAAGACACACTGTGAAATGAATATTAATGGCCAATCACCTGCCTAATCTAGCAGAACAGCAGCCGCTACACATTGAGCCACCAGCACCAGGAGCGTCTCCGTCAGCAGTGACGCAGGCCTCCTAAGAAGCTCCAGTTTGGAGACTTTAAAAAGGTGCAGGCAGAAGCCAGCAGGGACCTGTCTCTGCTTTTCTCTTCACTATCTCTGATGTGAAATAGATTGATTTTCTATCGTTCACCACTCTGATGACTGGCACTGCTGCTGATATTTCATTTTGGAGGGAGCTCCTCAGAGGTTTTGATGTCCTTACACAGGATAAATCAGCTTTAACCACTCCTTAAGCAGCCCTATCCCCCATAGCTTTGAAAAATTACCAGCTCCTCAATGTTTTCTTTCATTATGAAAGCAATGTCACAGGCGGCGTTCTGTTTTTCTGTTTAAATGTAGCACATTTTGTTCCTTCATGCTCTGTCTTAGCTTAACCCATTGTCGAGGTGTTGCTGAGAGGAGAGCAGGCTTGCTGTCAGCTGGGCTCTGCTGGTGATGCAGCCTGGCACAGCGAGAGCTCCAGCCCACTGAGGAGGCTGGGATTAGAAACAGGCTCTGGCATTATGGAGGCAGGCCTGCCGCCCACACGTCCACCCACACAGAGGACAAACAGCCAAACATACATTCTGCACTCTGCCTGTGTCTCATGTGAGCGTGAGGGAGCGCCCGGTGGGACGGGCATGTTCGTGATAATAAGAACACGTGTGAGCACACTCTACATGTTTTTATACAGTTCTCCAGGAGCTGGCCTTCACAATGGGCCAAGCAGCAGTGCTGCACTGTGTTTGTGTGTTTACTGCAACTGAAGGACAACCAAAAGGTTTGCTCCAGTTCACTGAGATGTGACGGAACAAAGAGAGAGAGGCTGGACAAAGCGAGAGGCAGCAAGTTAAATGGTGAGATAGGTGAAAAAATAAAAAGGGAAGTTGGTGAATCTAGATTGAGAGAGCAGCAGCACACTCGGCCGATGTTGTTTTGATGATGAATTTATTTGGCGTAAAAGACAACAGAGTGGTGCATGTTTTAAACATTAGTGCTCTTCTCTTTCTCTTACAAGAGAGACAAGCTGCCTATGTCAGAGCAGCGCCATAATGAAGCAAGCAGGAAGGCCTGTAAGCTCCACTGATCCCCTTCAGAGAGGAGAGGGGGCATAGTTAGAGCCAGGAAGGACGGCTGCAGAGAGGAGAGAGGTGAAAGCAGCAAATTTGTTCTGAGAAAGTGTAAGTGGGAGAGAGAGAGCCAGTGCAAAACAAACTGGGAAAACATGGATGAACCAACTCAAGGGAGGGGGCAGCGGGGGCATGGCAAAAAGCTGAACAGTGTATCTTCTCTTTAGAGAGAAGAAAACTATAGATTACTGTCGCAATGTGCTTGGCTGAGCACAAATGGAGAGATCTTGAAATAGTAAGGGAGCATGTTCACAGGTTGCAGAGGGATCAGGGAGAGCTAATCCAACAGTAAGACTAGCTGCAGGTCCCACATTCAGAGACCAAATCCCCTCTGGTGCACTTACACAAACAATACTCGTACACAGTAGCGTAGAGTGCAGTCTGCTAACTCCCACTACCTGGGCTGGGATGTGGAGGTCACTGTGCCCGTAAGCCCTAAACTTACCCTCACATCAGCACACCACAGTTGATTTTGAAACCCAGCGGATTGTGAAAGACAGACAGGTACACAGTGAGACAATCAGCAGGAGAGGGGAGAAATGATGAAATGGTTTCTATAGGGATGAGATGAGCTCCTGAGGGTCCTATTGTTGCTGAGGCTGAAGGAGTTATGCAGACTCAGTGGAAGAACTATCACAACAGTTGACTAATACAGTGGGTAGTCTAGGAGCCGATCAATTAGCCTTATCTGACAAACTACTACTGATAATACTGATGCCTGAGCTGCTGATTCTGCAGTGAACGAGTGGAGTGATGATGCATGAGTTTAGCTGGAGTTTAAAGATGTTGTAATTCTGCAAACACAGTGTTCAAGCAATGGAAAAATCCTCACTGAACATTTATTGTACACTACTTTGTGTCTTACCTCTAGACTTTTCTAAAATAATAACACATATTTATTGCTTAGCAAATATGACTATCGAAGGGTTCTTCAGCAAATGACCTGCCTCGCATGCAAACATAGGCACAATCATTTGGCATAGTCTTACTTTGGAAATGCTTTGTAAATTGGAATATTGGACTACATTTTATTGAGACCATAGCTGGATTATTTAAGTAAGTATTCACTGTTTTTTTGTTCAGTTTGTTCTTTCAACATTTAAGTATTCACAACAAAATGTGTCCAATCTACACCAGAATGTATAATTTAATTAATCTATCAACAGATAAAGACATTTTAACTTCAAAGGCAATTTACTCCAAATGTTTTTTCTCACATAAGCAGTTAAAGATCACCCTTTAAAGTGGGGCCATAACACTACTTTTTTTTTTTTTTTTTAAATATACTCAAATGTGATTGTTAGGTTACAACCAGTGTGCATCTTGCTAAAGAAACTACTGCACATCTCATCAGGTTTATGAAGTTGTAGTGTATAGTTTTGTATCCAGTTCTTGGATATTTATGGAAATCTGCCATCAAGTAGGCTTGTGAGCAGAGCCCTGTACTGGCTCGTACCCAGGGGCCAGGAGAGATCTCAAGATTTCTTGAGACATGTTTTTGATGAGAGAACAACTCTATAACATGGTAAAAAGCTCCAAAAGTCTTTCTGCATAATACGTAAAACTTCCCAATCATGTACTAAACAATATTTTGACAGATTTTACAGAAGAATTTGAAGAGGGGTTTATTAAATTAGAGTATTTACTGTATACAGACACACATAAACTCTTCTTACTTCCCTAACAATAAGGAGGAAAAAAAAACTGCCATAACCTTCTTTCCGCTTCATCCCCTGTTCGTCGTGAGGGTCTGGTATCGTGGGCGGATCAGCAAAGGTTACTGTTGAACACCGAAAGGAAAGGTCAGAAATCATGTTTAGTTTTTCCTGGGGCCGCGGAGGTAATTCCAGCCAGCAGATTGTGTTGAGTTGAGCAGGCATCCGCGGCCGGCCA